ATATTTAATCACAAAAGTACTTAATATTATTTTATATAATCTTCATAAAGTACGTTTCTAATAGAAATTAGCTAAAATTAGAAAAAAAAACTAGTTTATGATAGTAATAATAGAATATTATAATATTTTTGAATTATATTTTTGATGATATTGTATTATCTTTTTGATGCATAATATTTTTTAATTATAATATGAATATTATATTTTTTATCTAACGTACTTTATGAGGATTATATTATATAACACAATATTAAGTACGTCTTGTGATTATATATCATTTGAAATATGGCTTATTCAACATTATTATCATCACTTTAAAAAATAATAATAAAATTAAATATATTCTCAAGAAACTTCAGCATAAATGCTAACAAAAAGTTTAAGTTGGTTGCCTATATTTGGCGTAACCTAACGATATAAACTAAATTACGGTAACTTTTTTATAAAATATATTTTTTACATATAATAGAAACTTACTATCTTTATACGTGCTATAAATTTCTAAGTCATATAAGTTTGCAAAAGAGGTCGACGAAATACTTTAATGAAATGCGCTATGAGCACGTGTGCTTGGTCGTATAGTAATTTCCAGCCACTTCTAGTCTGTCAAAAAGTAACTAACTTCGTAAAAACATAATTACTAAAATCACTAGACAGTTCGGACTGGGATTAGCGAACCGGGTATACAAATCATAAAAATAGTCCTCTGGATGAATTTTGTTTAAATTTCAATAAAATAGTTTCTGTTTCTAGTTTTTTTAACTGTAGGGGAGAGGTGGGATGGTTGATCCCTGTTTTAGTGTTTAAAGATTATTTCAGACCATAATAGATATTTTCTTAATTTCATTATACAGGTTCATAATGTGGTTATCTCCTTCTACTGAGTGTTAACCTAGAATCTCTTTCTTGTAAAACAAATAAGGCAGATCAGTTCTTGTAAAACACTAGTGCGGTTCAAGAACCCCTGGCAGTTAGGGATACTTGACCCCGTGAGGGGGCTACTTGATGCCTGGGATAAAGTATCCCACCTATCATGCATGAAATAAGTAATTATTGCCAATTATGAAAGGTAATTAAATTAAACAATGAAACAAATTAAATTACCTACTTTATTAAATAAAAACATAAATAAAAAATTAATTGAGCCAAAAGAGAACAAATATTTAGAAAACATTAGCATACAATCTATGGGTAAATTTTATAATGTCAGCAGCCTGGCCGTTCTGCTGACGGACGGCTGCAGCAGCTTTTGTACGTATATCCGTACTATTGGAAAAGTGAAACAGCTTCCTTCTAGTCCTTTCCGCCTTAAGAATTTAACTTCCAATGTATTTTCTTTCAGGCACAAAATTTTTCCAACATAAAACTTCAGTGTAGTAACACTTGATAAACGTAGTGTCTGCTAGGATCCGTGTCATCAATAAGCTCATCATCTAAAAGGAAATCAGAGCCACCTTTGCTATCTGGAAGGCTGGGAAGATCATCCTTCGCTTCATCAGTCGAATCGAAAAATTCAGTGTTTCTAAGTGTTAAAGGCTTTTCTGCTCTTTTCTTATTGATTGCGGCTTCCTTAACCCTCGAGCGGGCGCGCCCGTGTATTTTGTACACGTCCAATAGAAAAAGTCGTCTAAAAATAGAAGTGTCGTCAATCTGGCGATATCGTCGCGTCTATTCGTCCAGTAGAGATCTGTCGTTCGAATAGTTGAGTAATATTTTTTGTTGCAGCTGAGTTTTGTGAGAATTCTTAGAAATACGAGAGTGTGACAGTTTTGTGTACATAATACACGGCGCGCCTTCTAGTGTAAGTATTTTATCCATTAATTATTTTACTTTATAAAAAGTTGTAATTCGAAATTAAAGTCAAATTAACTTTAGTTTTACTTTATTTTAGGTTGAACAGGATATTGTAACATAATTGAGAAGGAATATAACGGCTACGCTGAGAGAATATCATGTAAGAATTTAGTTGCATTGTTATATTATTTGTGTGTTACTTTTTTTATTTTTGCAGGGCTAGAAAGAAGTTTTTAACTGAGGCTGAGTTATATAAAATTCTTAATGAAGACCCAGAAACAGAAACTAGTGAAATAGAATATTCCGATGAATCTGAGACAGATGAAGAAATAATACACCATGATGACCACAATTCTGAATCTGAACAAGAACAGAATGACCACGACAGAGCCAGTAACTTCGAGGATAATACTGCAGTAAGTACGACTGCTTTCGAATATTTTCAAGGTAAAGATAAAAAAACTGCATGGCGTAAGACTCCGCTGTCGTCGCAATCAAAAATTAAAAAGAAAAATATTATCAAAATACTTCCAGGACCAAAGGCAGTGGCTTCAAAAGTGACCTCAGAACTTTCAGCTTTTGAAAAAATTATAGATTCTGATATATTAGAGAACATCGTACAATTTACTAATTTGTACATTGATAGTAAAAAAGAATCTGTTCAATATAAAAGAGAACGAGATATGAAACATACTTCAAAAAGTGAAATAATGGCGTTACTGGGAGTGCTTTACCTCCTAGGCACTAAAAAGGCTAACCATACTAACGCACTTGAACTTTGGACATCTGATGGAACAGGTATAGAAATTCTTAGAGCTGTAATGAGTTACAAAAGATTTTTATTTTTGTTACGTTCAATGCGCTTTGATGACAAAACCACAAGACATGAACGGAAAATATATGACAAACTTGCACCAATTAGAAAAATATTGGACGCATTTGTTAGTAACTGTAAAAATTCCTATAATCTTGGTGAATTTGTTACAATAGACGAAAAACTAGAGGGATTCAGAGGACGTTGTAGTTTCATCCAGTATTTACCAAATAAACCAGCAAAATACGGTATCAAGCTGTTCATTTTGGGCGATGCACAAACTTACTTTGTTGGAAATTTAGAGGTTTATTGTGGACGGCAACCTGAGGGGCCTTATGGCTGTATCAAACTCTCCCAGTGATATTGTAGATAGGCTTATTGATTATATAAAAGGTTCAAATCGCAATTTGACAACCGATAATTGGTATACCAGTTATCCTTTAGCTATTTCCCTTTTGGAAAATAAAATAACTACAATTGGCACTTTGAGAAAAAACAAAAGGGAAATACCTATTGAATTTTTACCCCAAAAACAAAAAGAAGTGGGAACGTCACTCTTTGGATTCCAAAAAAATGTCACTTTGGTTTCATTTGTTCCAAAAAAAGTAAGTTGGTCATACTTTTATCCACGATACATGACACTGCCACCGTAGACGTCGAAACTAAAAAACCAGAAATTATTCTAGATTATAATGCCACAAAAGGCGGTGTGGATACTATTGACCGAATGTGCATCATATTCTGTAAAAAGAATAACCAGAAGATGGCCACTAATTATATTTTTTTCTCTAATGGATATGGCGGGTATCAACGCGCAGGTGTTGTTTTGTGCCAATAAAACAAATCCCAAAATATGTCGCCGAATTTTTCTAAAGAATTTAAGCTTGAGTTTAATGAAAGTACATCTTTCAGAAAGAGCGACGATGCGATATCTTCCTCAGGATATTCAAGGTTTTCTAATGAAATATAAATCATGTGAAGAACCTACTAGAACAGAAGTGCAAAGTTCTAGAAAACGTGGACGTTGTGCAATATGTCCAGGCTCAAAAAATTCCAGCACAACAGTTAGATGTGGGCTATGTAGAATATTTGTATGATAAAAATGTAAGTAACAATGAACGGCAGCAATCAGAAGAAATCGAGTGAAGTAACCCGTAGGTAAATGTTTTATGTTTATTATTTTATGTAACAATAAACTATTTTTGTAAATCATGGTTGTCATTTTGTTAAAACGCACTAAATTTGGTAAAATCAACTAAAATGTGTTTTGTGTACAAAATACACAGCGCGCCCGGTTATGAAACGGTAGTCGGCGCGCCTGCTGTAGGGTTAAGAGCAAGTTTTTAATTTCCGATTTAGGGGTATCAGTTAGGATGCGAGAGCGCCCCCGTTTTCTACCTCGAGAAGATTGGGCACGAGGTGCTGCCTTGGCATGATATCTTGTGGAGAAAATGTTTCACAGATATTATGTAAGATAATGGAGTGCAAGATTTTAGAGCCCCAGACAACCTTGGTTCTATAGAAATTAATGTACTAGCACTAGGCGTTGGCTGTATTGGATCCAGAACTGATTTCTGAATCAAAGTTGGATCTGGACGGTGCGTGACAGCGCTGGTCATAAATTCGTCGTCAGTAAATATGTTTGGATTGATCGGTCATATTCCAGATACTTTGAACCCACTTATGATATTTGAAGGAGCCATAGCTTGGGAAACGCATCTCCAAGCAGTTATGCAATATCGTAAATGGTAATAGTTCTCCCGTGAAATTTGAGCATAAAATTGGAAGCTGCTTGGGAGTAATAAGTCTTTAGTGGACCAAAAACCGCGCGGTCCAATAGCTGCAACTATGAGAGGTGTGCGGTGGAATTCTAAGAAATACGATGCCGTTGTCTCTCGCATAATTTACAGCCTCCGATGAGCAGTTGCTCAGCAGTTGCAGTTGATGAGTAATCTATATACTGGGATATGTTGTTGCATTGCTGTCAGGAGGTTCATGGCTTAGAAACCTGTCCTGCCAGTTTTTTCTGGGAAATATCATGTAAGAAGGCATGTGACGCCCTGTAGAATTGATGCCAGCATACACCATAACCAGTTCGCCTCGTTCTGCATATTTAATTTTGCCCACCTGCTTCGACCCTTTCACAGGAATTATTTGAGCAGGTTTATGTAGTTCTAGTTATTCAAGTTCTTTTTCCTGGTCAAGTGAAAAAACCTGGCGCACCTTGTAGCTTGGGAGAGATATCATGTTTTTTCTGCACAACCTCTTCAATGTTATAACATTTATTCCGAACTACCTAGCGGATGCTTTGTAGCTTCCTCCGTTTTTTACCGCATTTACAGCCGCTTTAACATTTTCTGCATCAGGTGGAACTCTTTTCGTTGCTCCTATTTTAGTCAATTACTAACGTGGCATCTGAAAAAATAAACATGAATAAAATTAATTACATGAAACACGAGATTAAAAGAAACACAAAGTGGGATACTTGATACTGGGATCAAGTATCCCCTATTTAATAGGATCAACTATCCCTGCAATGACATTTTTCTAACAAGTGCAAGATTTAGGTTAAAACACTTCTTCTCTTCATGTGCCTTGTCCGTTCCGAACGTTGGCAATCAACATGGCTATTCTGACTTTGTTTACGGCAGATCTGAATAGTTCAGCAGATGACAATCCGAACCATTGCCGCAAGTTTTAGAGCCACGAGTGTCTTCTCCTCCCTGGACCCCTTCTGCTGTCTATTTTCCCTTGAACGATCAGCTGTAGTACTCTATATTTATTATGTCTCATAACGTGACCCAAGTATTCCAACTTTCTTTTCTTTATACTTATTCCTACCTCTCTCTCTTTACCTATCCGGCGTAGTACCTCTTCGTTGGTCACGTGCTCAGTCCAGGATATACGTAATATACGTCGGTAAGCCCACATTTCGAAGGCTTCTACATTTTTCATCAATGTTGCAGTCATTGTCCATGCCTCTATTCCATATAACAAAACCGGGAATACATAACATTTCAGAAGTCGAATTTTGAGAGGTAGGGTGAGGCTTTTAGAGGTGAAAATTTGCTTCATGCTAGTGAACGATGCTCTTGCCTTTTCTACTCTTATACGTATTTCATTCGCTTGATCCCAATTTGAGTTAAATGTTTATATTATATTTCGTTATTTTCACTATTTTCAAAATTATCGTTGTTATGAGCTTGCACCTCAATATTGTCGTCGCCAACCTCTCTCAAAAGTCAGATCAAAACTAATGGCACGATCAATACCGTATGTTGAAATTACTAACTCTGACATAGAAATAAACCATGCCTATTTTTCAATTACATTGGTTCAACAATGATTTGTCATGTGCACCTCCTTGTCACTACTTACGCATACAGTACAGGACTGGTCGCTTAGCAAACTACTTTGGTCTGCTTTGCAACCACTCGAGCGTGGAGGACCGACAAACGTGTCTCCGACTATATAAAAACTCCTAGAGTTAATATTGTATTTACAGTTAGGGGCTGGTTCAGAATCTCCAAAATTGACTTTATTAGGTATAAGTGAAATAAAATAAATAAACAGTACTATAAGTGTATTGAAAACTAACAAATAACAAGAATGTATGTTAAAGTTTTACTCTTTCGTAATTTTTATATACTATCTTCTTTTGTCTTTAAATCATTAAACATTTTACAAACAAAAAAAGGGTTACAATACAAATGCATATGAATTCATATTTATCAGAGAAATGTGCACATACTTATTCGGCCTTCTAAATGAAGCCATGGAGGACTTCAATATAGAGAACATTACCTTACAATAAAGTTGCACAGTACTTGAGACCCCATAAAAGATGCTTCTGACGGCAACTGGTAGCAGGAACACTTTTATCACTATACTTTCCTTTCGTTGCACCTATGACTCCATCAAGTTCACGTTCTTAAGATCGTTTTATAATATAATTGTTAAAAACTTAAACAAAAATGGCTAATGGCGAAGACACAACGCCGTATATATTTTTTTAATGACACCGCCAACTTCTGTCCTTGCTGATTGTCATCTTGCAGTTTTTGAAAACTGCCACTAGGTGGATAAGTCCCCTTTCACAATAAATTTATTTTAGAGTGAATATATAAGTTTACATTTATGTGTTTGTTTTATTTGATATTACATATTATATTATTTTATTTATTAACATGTGCGACCTAAAGGCATTCAACGCCCTCTCATGACGAGAAGGCTTTCTAAGTGTAACAGATTGGAACTTATGTCATAAAAAATGTGACATTGGGAACGCACGAAAATGGCGCTAGAGGTTCAAATTTTAATTTCTTATATAATTTAAATTCAAGGTGTTGGGAACTTTTCCCAACAAGGACTAAAAAAGTAGTTGGCACTTAATAACTAATAACTTAAACATAAAACTAAAAATACACAAAATCATTACTTCTTCTTCCTCTTTAGCCTTAAGTAATCCAACTTTGGACATAGTGTGTCCCCCAAATCAATCCAGTGTCGTCTATTTTGTGCCACTTACTACCAGTTAGTCTCTCTGATCTTCTTATTATGATACGCCCATCTTAATTCTGGTCTTCCTCTGCTTCTCTTTCCTAACCATGGTCTCCATTGTTGTATTTCGTGGTTCTATCTCTTATCCTTAAGTCAGGCATTGTGTCTCGCGAGCTCATTTAATTTGGCAACATGTTCTCCTGCGTCTTTTACTTTCGTTTTGCTTCGAATCCTTTTGTTTGTTTTTTGTCTATAAGTTTAAACCCGAGCATTTATCTTTCCTTCGTTCTTTATGCTTTTACTATTTTATCCATGTTAGACTGGGTGCGTGTCCACATCTGTAAGCCGTACGTGAGTATAGGGAAGATACACTGATCGTAAATTCTGGTTTTCAAATATTGTTCTGTTTTAGTGCTTTTCAAGATCCAACTCAGTTTTCCAAATCCTGCCCATGCCAGTCTTATTCTTCTGGTAAACTCGGCAGTTTGAACCAATCTGCCGAAATAAAAACCACTACAAGTGGTTCTTAATAAGAGCGCGTCACTCATTTCTTGTTGACAAGTGGTTATGTTTTATTATTTTACTACTTTTACGTTACATACTCTTTAGTGAAACCATTCATAATAAACAAGTAAGAAAAAATATAAAATAACGTAGGTACCGAGGGAACATAAAAGTTCATACTTAACCCCCCCTCCCCTGGCTCTCCTGCCAACAAATATATTAAAATCATAACGTGACAAAATACACCTCCAGGTTGTGGATTGGGCAGTGGGTTCACACCCCCCTTCTGTAAAAATTCTTCTGTTGCGGAAACTTCAAAACAATTAGCCGGATGGATTTTTTAGCAGCAGGTAAACTAAGAAGTCTGTCCAATACACTTAATGAATATTCAGCAGACATTATAGCACTTCAAGAAATCAGGGTAGACATGAAATCAACTACACTCTCTACTATAGCGGAGATAAAAATAATCATATTTTTGGCGTGGGATTCATACTGAATAAACGACTGAAATCAGAAGTTATAGCTTTCGATCCAATAAGTTTAAGGATATGTAGAATCCGAATTAAAGGCAAGTTCTTTAATTATAGCATTATCAATATCCATGCTCCCACTGAAGATAAAGAAGACGAGGAGAAGGACATATTTTACGAGAAACTGGAAAGCACTTACAGAACAATGTCAGAACAACGACATAAAAATTATTATTGGTGATTTTAACGCTAAAGTCGGCCAAGAGACTATTTACCGACCCACGATCGGCGAGCATAGTCTTCATGCTGTCAGCAACCAAAATGGTTTACGCCTGATTGAACTCGCAGCATCATTGGGAATGGTGGTAGTAAGTACATGTTTTCCTCATAAAAATATCCATAAAGCAACATGGCAATCACCAGACGGTCAAACAAAAACCAAATTGACCATGTACTAATTGATAGTCGACATTTCTCGGACGTACTAGATGTAAGAGCATGTAGAGTGCTAATATAGACTCTGACCACTACCTTGTAAGAAACAAAACTCAGGCTCGTATATCAAACGCTAAGAAGGGCCAGAGCACAAAATCTACAAAATATAATATTGATGTGCTAAAATCTGAAGACGCTAGGGATAACTACAGGAAAATTTTAAATGAAGAGCTGACAAGAATCGACGAAAATTTAAGTATAGAAGAACACTGGACCAAATGCAAGGAAGCTATCCATACAGCGGCTAAAGGCTTTTTAAAACCTAAACAGGCTAACATAAACGAAGAATGCGACAGTCGTGAAGAAGACCAAATAGAAATGACTTTGCCTAAAATGGATGAAAACGTTCAAGAGCCGCCCCCCACCGAAGAAGCAATTAAAGAAGCCATTTCAAAACTGAAAAATAACAAAGCAACTGGTTTGGACAATCTTCCTGCCGAAATCTTTAAAAGTGGTGGTGACTGGTGTGTGATAATTATAGAGGTATCACCTACATAATGTAGTATATAAGCTGCAAGGATTGTCAGCTGAGGGTTTTGGCTTTAAAGAAACCACGACGCTTAAGTGGAAACTGGGCAGGGCACTTAGCCAGAACACAAGATGGACAGTGGACAAGACGTATTATGGAATGGAGGCCAGAAATATAAAAGAAGCCGAGGACGACCACCACTAGATGGACCGATGACATAAACGTGTAGCGGGAAACTGGCTACAAGCGGCCCAGTGTAGAGAATACTGGAAAGAACTAAGGGAGGCCTATGTCCAGCAGTGGACGCGATTGGCTGACTGATGGTGATGAAGGTATTGTACAGAAGATTGATCCCCTATGCTGAAAAAATAGTTGGGAACTACCAATGCGGTTTCCGACCCAATAAATCAACAACGGATCAAATCTTTACAGTCAGGCAGATTCTTGAGAAAACGCTTGAGTTCGGAGTCGACACCCACCACATATTCGTGGATTTCAAAGCCGCATATGACTCAGTCAACAGACAAAAACTTCTACAGGCTATGGTGGAATTTCAAATACCGCTTCATCTTGTTCAACTAACGGAATTTACACTCACAGACGTAGAGAGTGTAGTCAGAATCCAAAACGACTTTTCAAGACCCTTCCATTGTAAAAATGGACTGAGACAGGGAGATGGATTGTCGTGTCTCTTATTTAACCTTGCACTAGAAAAAGTAATTCAAGAGTGCCATATTAATACGAATGGCACCATCTTTAATAAATCTGTACAAGTGGTCGGATATGCAGATGACATAGACATTATTGCTAGGTCCACAGAATCTCTGATCGAAGCATTTCGATCATTAAGGGCGTCTGCACTGAGAATGGGATTAAAAATAAACGCACAGAAAACCAAGTATATGTATTGTACTAGATCAGGCAACCAGATACCTAGACTATTAATTGATGATCTGGAACTGGAAGGTGTGGACACCTTCATCTACCTGGGCTCGCTGCTGACCAAAGACAACAATGTCAGCAAAGAAATTAAAAGAAGAATAGTGCTTACCAATAAGCGTTATTATAGCTTGAGAAAACAGATGGCTTCAAAACTACCCAGAAAAATTAAAATCACCATATTCGCACTAATAATACAATAGTGTCGTAACTCAAAAAAGATGATTTTTCAGAATCAACGAAAAACTGATTACTCATTTCCTATTGCAGGTAAAAATAAAATTAATGCATAATATGTTTCTAATTAATATTAAATGAAGTTTCTTTGTACTCTTTGTTAAATAAAAATACTGACAGTGAAGTTATTAAAAAAATTTGAGTTAACACTGTATTGCTCTAAGCAAAATGTTCAAAATGAAATATTATTTTTAGTTATGACATTATTTATGAAATATTTTGTGTTACTACAATTTGATTTACTATTTTTTCTGTGGTTTACTTTAGTTTTTGGACTTACAACAATTTTGGGAACTTGATTCTTGGTATTTGTTAACTTCGGATCTAAAGAGATTGTATTACACGTTAACAATTACCGAGAATTGTCAATTTTGGTATTAATAAATAAATCAAGACTGTTTTTAATTACGTTTATATTATAATCAAACAAACTCAGATACAGATAACAAAATACAGTATTCTTGAACATTTTGTACTTAATCTATATATTTAACAAAATAAACCTTCTGAAAAAAGAACACAAAATATAGTCATATTTAAGTAATTCGTGATTAATTAAAAGGACCTATTTAAAAGAAAAACAAATTATTTAAACTCAGTCTCAAAACTCAGAGTTTCAATCAGTCTCAAAATCAATTATTACTGATTACAATTAAATACAATTTTAATTTTTAATCGATCAAATCCTTATAGTAAGTTTCACGGTAACTTCTGGGTATTACATTTTTGTCAAGCAATTCCTTTAAGTCCCTTTTCTTATTTTCAGTTAAAGGTATCTTGTTTGTGTACTCTCGTGTCAAACCATTAGCAAATAACGAAGTCTGGTTTTCAGTTCGTCGTAAGCTACGTACGAAAACTTTTTGGTAATCTTCATCTTCGTAAGAGTTCTTATAAAAGAAAGTAAATGGATGTTCGTTTTCAACACGAAATACCTTAATGTCATGCCATTTGATTTTGTCTTTTTCTTCATTAACATTAAAATTGTTACCCCACTCTTCTTGAAGTAATTTCAGATTGTAAAATTTTTCATTGGTCATTTCAGTCACGCTATAGGGTTTGCCTGTCTTTTTAGCCGACTGAATTAATGTCATATATTGTTGTGGGACATACACTGGACCAGATTTTACGAAACGTTTTACTTGCTTTTCTATGACGCTATGCACATTGTCACCCTCGTTTTGAGAGTGACCGCGAATCAGAAATTTATGGGTTATGCTTTTGACATTCATTTTTTGTACTGCGTACGCATATGCTGTAAGGATGTATTTATTTTTTTGTTGTCCGCAACAATTATCAGAATAAAATATAAAATCCAGTTCTTTACCAGGATTAGCCTGTAAAATTTTTTCTATATATTTCAGAGTACAACTCCCAATCTCATTCGCACCACGTTTTCCCTCCGTTTCGTCCCAAAAATAGCATTCGACATTTTTAGCGAACAAGTCACTCACAGTAAAATTAAAACAGTTAATTCTACTTTTGTAAAAAAATAATGAAACTTGGCCTTTTGGTACTGGCATCACAGCTTGTAAGTCATATACAGCGACTATTGTTGAATCTATGTTAGCATTTTTGTCTTTTTCTTTCTCTTTTCTGGACAGTTCTTTTTCTTTCAAATGGTTTTCGTACGCCACAATAATATTCTTTTTTCCATCTTCATCAGAATTTTTGAAATTTTCGCAAAGATCACACTGATCTTTTTTTGGTGTGTGGAAGGAAATGTTAAAGTCTTTATTAAAAATGCGGTTAAAGGTAGATGCTGACGCAAATGATAAGCTTCCTTCTGTACATTTATCTTTGTAGTCTCGATATAAATCAGCTAAAGACTTGTCACACTGGATATATTCCCGTGACGTCTGGGCTCTAAGGTAATGTGATTCGACGCGTGGTATAGCATTTATAAAATGTTTGACACCTTCACAGATCTCCGGTTCCACAGTACGTTGTTTGCCATGTTTTCCACGTAATTCATCTTGTATTAAACCACACTCTGTTTTTTTGGATAGTGCTGTAGCAATGGGTCGATCGTTTATAGCAAGAGTATTTTTAAACATTGTTTTGCAAACTCTAATGAGATCGTTGTTTAATGTAAAATTAAATCCAGTATTTAGTTTGCGAACATTTTTTGTTGAAGAATATCTGTATTTTGGTTTAATTTCTATAGTATGTCTAATAATGAATTCTCTTTGTTTTTGTAAATCTCCCAAATTCCAATACTTATTAAAAATATCTTGTCTTGATGTCTCGTTTATTCGTGAACGACAGTTTAACCTGCATTTTTTGCCACAAGTCGGACCCATTTTCCTTGCAGGCACTTGTTTTTTGTTCACTGATTCATACGCTTTGCCAGTATTGCGAAGTCGTTTGGCTACACTGTGTTTCCAGGTTTTAATATTACGTATCCTCTTTTTGCCCTTAGTATTATTGTTTTGGTCTTCCAAGGAAAATTTTAATTCATTAGTTAACCCACTAGTTCCAGCAAAAGGACTTAAATTATGAACAACTCTATCATCCGAGCTACTTGATGAACAGCTACTGGTAGAAGAGCTACTCGATGAAGAGCTTCTTGAAGAAGAGCTACTTAATGATGTTATTGTTAGGCCTTGAAGCAAACTATAGGTTTTACTTTGCACACCAGGAACGAAATGCGGATCTCGGTCGGAATCATCGGAATCAAAGTCGCCCTGGTCTGAGTGGATCGGTGAAATGTAATATTGCCCGTGGTTGGATTCTATAATAGGTTTAACATTACTAACCTTACTAAAGAAACTGTTTACGTCAATTTCTTGAAGTACTTGATCACTCGTAAATGGTGAAGGTATAGAAGGTGATCGTACTTTCGCAACGTCACTGTTTTCTATTTGGACATCAGGTTCATTATTTCTACTCTCCAGTGACAATAATGACGGTGAAGAGATTTCCTGCTCGCAGTCCTCAGCATTTGTTGCCATAGCAACAAGTAATCGCCCACGACTCATAGGTATTAAACCTACAAATGAATCAATTAATATTATTAGATTAAGTATATAGGTACTTGACGGAAGAATGTCACAAAGAGTGTATTAACTCTAAATTTATAAAATAAAGTAGTTGATAAGCTTTCTTAATAACAATGCTACACTTCTTAAATGAGTTATTACTATTCGGTGATCGGCAAATAGATATTGATTAATAAATGTTTTACAAACAACAACAAAAATGGTTTAAAGTGATTATTCAACAATAATGTAGCATGTCAAAAATAATGAACTGAACCAAGAATAGTGTCGTTAGTAAAAATAATAATTTAAAAAGTGCTGGTGTAAATCAGTAATAGTGTAATAACTAGAAAAACAACAATATTATGGTTAGGTTCAAATCAACAAGAATGTAATAACTTGAAATATAGCTATGAAAATTACATACCTGATTCAGCAATAACGTTGAAACTCGAAATGATGAGCAAAGCAATACGTGCGTTCCCGATCACCGTTGGTTGCAACTAAAGATCACGCGATATTGTGAAGGGGGTGACGGCAGTCGGTCAGTCATGAATATCGTCTTATGGCGCCATATCTTATTCATTTATTGCACTATTAAAACGACAGTTTTATTGACTTATAGGGAATTAAATTTTACGCGTGAATATAATGTTATGTCAATTTCGACGAATTTTGAGTTGCGACACTATTGTATTATTAGTGGGATATATAAAACACTAATAAGGTCAGTGTTAACATACAGGTCAGAAACGTGGTCACTTACACAAAACGACCAAGAACTGCTTAGACGTTTCGAGAGAAAAATTCTAAGGAAAATATATGGAGGAGTCCAAAAACAGGGTTTGTGGCGTAGGCGCTACAACTTTGAATTATACAGAAGTTTTGGGGAACCTGACGTTGTAAAATTTATTAAATTAGCACGCCTTCGATGGATAGGACATGTAATTAGACGAGATGAAAGATGCAACGATCAGAAAAATTTTCGACCGAAGAGGACCAGTGGGAAGATGATCACAGAGAAGACCAAAACTTAGGTATCGAGATAACATAGAGGATGATCTAAAATCCATCGGAGTTAAAGCATGGAGAAGAGTTGCCAGAGACAGGGGCGAATGGAAGATTGTTCTGAAGAAGGCTTTGGCTCATGACGAGCTGTAATGCCACTGATGATGATGACAAAAAAACACATGTTCTGGTACTTCGTCGCCTTAGTGACACAAAAATGTAACTACATTTTTTCCCGTTTTGAGATATCTACACCACTGAACTTACCTTAGTGAGTTCTATTGAGTGACACAAAATTATATCTCTCCAGGCACTTAAAACCCCAATTAGGAGTTTTCGTAACTACATTTTTTAGTAATCTTTTAGTGTCACAGAAATGTAAGTGCTGTTACATTTCTGTGATACTAAGTTTTCGTACTATAAATAAGCTGATATTGAGTTACCTTTTTGTGGCATAAATTTTATTGCACTGAATGGTGGTTGCAGGTAGTAACTGTGGATTTGATTTTTTGTTTATTATGTTTAGCAGGGTGGCCTGTTGTATTTGTAGTTTTGTTATAGCTGTGAAACACGTAAATCAGTTTATAATTTGTTTATTATATTTATCAGGGTGGTCCGTTGTATTCAGTATTATCAGTAAAAACATATCCAGGAGCAGATGTACCAACCCATCACAATATTTTAGTAGGAAAAATAAGACTGAGATTAAAAAGAGTTGCAAGGACGAATAAGATTGATAGAGAAACGATGCTAAATGATACTGTAAAACAAGAAATAACTAGTATATTAGAACAAAAGATGAAGTTAACATTAAACAAAGAAGAAAGTACTGAGGAAAACTGGACGAGAATTAAAGACATCTTAAAGACTGTTCAAGAAACAAAATTGAGTGCGCTAAAAGCAAGAAAAAAACATGGGTGGATGACAGAAGAAATATTGAGACTTATGGATCAAAGAAGAGAAGTCAGAAATAAAGATAAAAACGAATACAAGAGGATCCACGCAATAATCAGGCAGAAGATAAGACACGCGAAAACACAATTTCGTAGTAAAGAATGTAATGAAATTCAACAATATGAAAAGAAACACGATACATTTCATCTGCACAAGAAACAAGTATCCCAAAGTTTAGAAGACAGAAACGGACACAGAATATTAGACATCAATGAAAAGTTACAAGAATGGGAAAACTACATTTCTGAATTATTTGAAGATGAGAGAGTAGAACACTATACACCGATTGCTATATCAGGTCCATCTATAACAGAAAGTGAGGTAAGACGTTCAATACAAACGGCAAAAAATGGAAAAGCACTTGGCCCCGATAAAGTAAGTGCTGAAATACTAAAGTTTTTGGGAGAAAATGGAATTAAAGCTCTGTGTAATCTCTTTAACAGAATTTATGACACTGGGATATTACCAACTGATTGGTTAAAGTCGACATTTGTCACAATACCTAAGAAACATCGTCCAAAGACATGCGGTGATTATCGGACAATAAGTCTGATGAGTCACGTTTTGAAAATCTTTCTGCGAGTAATACACAGCAGAATTTATACGCTGTTATAGGACAGAATTAGCAATACTCAATTTGGGTTTAGGAGTGGCTTGGGTACAAGAGAAGCCTTGTTTAGTATACAGGTGCTAGTACAGAGATGCAGAGATATAAATCAAAATGTGTATATTTGTGCAATCGATTTTGAAAAAGCTTTTGACAAAGTCCGACATAACAAAATGCTAGAAATATTGGAAACAGCTGGATTGGACGATAAAGATCTACGAATAATTACAAATCTATACTGGCATCAAGTGGCAAGAATAAAGGTTGAACAAGAACTGTCGGATGAAATAAATATAAAAAGAGGAGTGAGACAAGGCTGTATATTGTCGCCTTTACTTTTTAACTTATATTCGGAGGAAATATTTAAGGAAGCCTTAATGGAGACAACCGAAGGTATTATTGTGAATGGAGTAACCGTCAACAATATTAGATATGCCGACGATACCTTAGTCCTTGCCAATTGCGGAGAAGACCTTCAAAATCTAATGAACAAAATAAAACAGACTTGTGATCAGTATGGACTAAAACTCAACGTTAAGAAAACTAAATATATGATAGTTAGCAAACAAAATTATATACATGATGACGGTATAAAAGTCGGAGATGCCACACTGGACAGAGTAGAGAAACTCGTGTATCTCGGCAGTAATATCAATGAGAGCTGGGATCCAACCGCAGAAATTAAAAGCCGAATAGAACAAGCCCGAGCTGCCTTTGTAAAAATGAGAAACGTACTTTGCAGTCATGATCTTAGCATTGACCTTAGAGTTCGTATGATATCTTGCTACATCTTTCCTGTCCTGCTGTATGGAGTAGAAGCGTGGACCCTAACTGAGGCTATGCTTAAACGCTTGACAGCCTTTGAGATGTGGGTATACAGACGACTACTGAAAATAAGCTGGGTCGACAGAGTTAGAAATGAGGAGGTCCTTAGACGGCTGAACCAAACAACACAACTGGTCAATATAATAAAGAAACGCAAGCTGGAATACTTCGGTCATATTATGAGACACCCTGAAAAATATGATCTTTTACATCTGATCATTCAGGGAAAGATCCAAGGTAATCGTGGTCCTGGTAGAAGAAGAACATCATGGCTGAAAAATCTAAGGCAATGGTATGGAAAATCAACTACATCGTTATTTAGAGCTGCTGTCAATAAAGTCACGATAGCGAATATGGTAGCCAACATGATATCCAACGATCGATAACGGTCATGGAACTAGAAGAAAAGGTCCGTTGCCTTTCCAGTTCTGTCACAACTATGAAGACGTTATAAACACGTGAATCAGTTTTAAGTTAATTATAGTAGAGATTGTTATAATTATCGTTATAATACTGTTTTATAATTTTATTATTACACAATAATGGATTCAAGAGGGAAGAAGTTAGTTTTGTTAGCTCTTAACAAATCGGTACGAGATGATGAAACGCATAGTCATAATTTAGCGCTTTCATCACAACAAGTGACATATTCAGATAGTGCCTCTCATGTTTCTACCAGTGAACCTAATTTATCAGGGTATGAACAAAGTGAGAATATATTTTTTGATGTCGATTCTGATTAAACACATTCATAATTTACCGTTCTTATCATAAGTGATACATTCAAATAGTGCCTCGCATATTCTACCAGTGAACCTAATGGATCAGGATATGAACAAGAGTTGTGTAATAAAGGCATTATTCCTTCCCAGTATCATCTCTTCTTTAAGTCGTTGGTCACCAACAATATGGACAATCAATCAGATGTGCAAAGTGATTAACATAATTAAAATTATTGTTTGAAAATGTTTTTAAAATTTATGTTTAATTAAAAAAAAATATTTTATGATTTAAATAATGGTATAAACGTCTCAATGGAAATAACCACAATCTATTTATTAAAAAAAACTTTATTGACGTTTCTCCATCTAATTCAGAAATCGTTATCTAAACATTTTATAAAGTTTCTTTTTTTAATAAATAATATTGTGGTTATTTCCATCGAGACTTTTAAATAGTATTTAATGCCACAAGAAAATATCGTCAGAACAATAAAAAGTTATAAAATGAATTACGATTATTAGTTTTATTTTATTATTAGTAAATTGTTATATATTATAATATTGGTTATAATGCTATAGCAACAAATTACAAGTAGGTACCATTTCATTTTAGAAAAGCTTAGTCTGAATCCTATTAAAAATCATTTGTATTTAAATGGCGTGGTTAAGTTTTCGGACCAGGTAGAGATTAATAAATTTTAATCTATTGTACTTTTATTTATTATACCTGCCACTCAGTTTGTTCATCTCTCGAAATTTATCGATAACACTCCAACACAAATGACTAATAGGATTAAGATTAAGCTTTTCTAAAATTAAATGGTACCCACGTAAGTCTCAATAGACTTTTCAGGTAGGGACACAAAAATGTATCTCCGCTACTTTATCTAATTGTTGATATTTTGAGAACACAATTTATTCATTGTTGCGTATGATTGTATTACGGCAATGAAAACATTCCTTAGATTAATAATTCGAAACAAAAAAGTTGAGAATAAACCGACGGCTCCTAAGTATACTGAGTCAACTGCTAGAATAGTAATTGATGGTGAGGAGCAATTTTAATAACAATTACGATATTTTGATGTGTTTTTACGTAAAAATATAGATTTTTTTCTGTGTAAATATAATGATATAAGACTTTTTTATGTGTGTAAAATTATTTTAAATTATTTACTTAATAAAAAGATAATGCATATACACCAGTATACGTCGTAATATTATAATGAATATTGGATCAACTACCAGTTACATTTATATACGCCGTTTCTAGTAAATGTGGTTTAAATTAATAAGATAATTATTTTACACTAGCTAGAAATTGTCTTACCTTTTCATAATATTTTAAAATAAGTAGGGCTGTTGCTAAGTTATTTATACGATTTTGTTTAAAACTTGACTTACTATACGAGGTGAATAATGTTATAATGTTAAAATTTGTATACTGGTCTAATAGCAAAAATAAAAAAATAGTATTACTTTTAGCTTTAATAAAAACTTAAAAGTTTATTACAATATTTCTTTACAATAAACAATAAAGTCTAAATGCAGTTATAAACAAAAATCAACAATTTTTGACAAAAAAGGAACATAAACTAATTATTATTTTTAGGTTAAGTAGGAACTTGGTTTATTGCAACAAGTTGGTATAATAAAAACAATTAAAAATAATTCTTTAGCATAAGATAAACAATGTAACATCTACAAAGTATCAACCTCAGAACTTAATTAGTCTTCATCACTTTCCTCTCTGTTAGAATTTGTTACTAATAAATGGTTAAAAAATAAATGGTATTCTTTAGGAATTACCAAATTTTTACAAAGATCCAATAGATCTTTATGTTTATTTTTGTCAATGGGAATGGGTTTGTCGTAACAGGTTTTTATGTCATTAACATCAAAATTAAACTCTTTTCTTCTTCGTGTAGCTTTGGTGTTGTTCACGCAATCTATCCATTTGTAAGTATTATCTTGATAACTTGTTTTGAATAAAATCTTAAAAGGATTTGCAGCTTCAATTTTTATTTGACATATTTTATTCCATTGCATTTTAGATCCATCACCTGTAGTTGTCCAGTTATTAATTCCTTTTAGTTCTGCTTTAAAGTTTTTAATTAAATCTTGTGATATCTCTGTGACTTTGTACGGCTTATCATCTGTTTTAGCAAATCTGAAAGCCGTGTACCATTGGTCAGGAGTATATAATACTTTGTTCTTGGTCTGTCTTTCTATTAACGCATGCATACTGTCACCTTCATTTTGAGTATGACCAACTATCAAAAAGCGATGCCTGATGTCGATATTAAACTTAGAGCAAGCCATCATGTACATTAAGAAAACGATCCTGTTCCTGTTCTGACCTCCACAGTTATCGGACCAGAATCGATAATCCTTGATACCTGTACCTACTGTGTCTTCTATCAATTTATATATACAGCTAGCAATCTCATTCGCTCCTCTTTTCGCTGTTTGCTGGTGCCATGAGAAGCAGTGACCCTGTCGTGATGCCAGATCAAATACAGTAAAGTTGTATAAAGTAAGTTTTCTCTTATAGTAAAAGGTACTTACGTTGCCATGAGGCACGTTTAAGCATTTCTGGAGATCATAAGCTGCTGAAAGGATGTGTCCATCCTGCTCCGCTGATTCTTTATCTTTAGCTTTTAATTTTCTAGCCTTATCTTTCTCTGTCAGGTGATGGTCGTGGTTCGCTTTGTCGTTTTCTGTAATGTTTTTGTTGTTTTCAAAAATATGACATTCTTCACAAACATCCTTTTTTGGTTTATGAAAACCAATATTTAAGTTTTTGTTAACAATGTCTCGATATTGTCTTACGTTATTAACTTTAGAAGAATAGACATTAGGATCATACCATTCTTTGTATAGTTTGAACATTTTTGGAAAAGATAGAGAAGCGTCAAGATACTTTTTATTTGACTCTTTGCGAACGTAGTGGGATTCAACAGGAGCAAAAACCCCAACATGATCAATCACACTGCGTTTTATATCATCTGTAATTATTTTTGGATGACTGCTGTGCCTTCCACGTTGATCAATTTCAACAAATCCTTCTCCTTTTTCTATTTTTTCTAATGCGGTGTAAACAAAATTAAAACTTATCGAAAGAGTTCTCAAAAACATTGTTTTGCAGACTGGTATTTTAACAATTGCAGTGCTTTCGTCTTCACCGCTTGGTAGGTAATAGTAGATAGTATAAATTCTTTTTGAATTCTCTCGGTCCACAGTCAATCTCTTCTTTGGTACCCTTTTAGCATATTTGGTTAAAAAATCCCACTGTCTTGAATGGTTACCAATATTCCAGAACATTGTAAAAATTTTTTCTCGAGCTTCTTCTAAAATCTTTTGGCTGCATTTTTTGCGACAAGTTTGAGCACAAGGTGATTTCAGCGTTTTTTTACTATGTACTTTCCCATTGCGACTAACATATTCAAGACCTCTGTTAACCTTATATTTTCGTTGTTCATCCTTCCATTGTTTTTCAAAACGCTCTCTTAACCTGCCTTTATCTCTTTTGACCATTGATGATCGCTTACGACGTGTTAAGGTAGGAGTGCTAACTGCTGAGTCTCTGTTATCAAGGTTAGATACCGAAGTAGATGCCACAGGACTATTATTATACAATAAATCGACATTAACAGGTGAAGATGAAAATGAATCATAGGGTGATGGCATTGGCGTAGTGTCACAATTTTCAGGTGTTTTGGAGCATCTAGTTTGTTCCTCATTAAGCAGTTCATTAACAGTTGTAGTGCCTTCAATGTCTTTATTTGGTGATTGTGAGTATTGTGGGGTATGTGCACTAACTGAAGTCTGCTTTATTACCGACAATAGTGAGGAATTTATTAAACGATCATTAGCTTCATTGTGAGGGACGTCATGATTTTCCAGTATCTGTAAGTAATCAGGAACGTTATCGTCCGGAAAAGTATCAGAGTGATATGGTAAAATTTCTAGTAATGATTCAGGATCACTTAGATTAATATCTTCTAGTATTGATAGCTCCTCTCGCGTGAAATGTGCACCAGCAGACCAAGGAGACTCTGGATCTGGAAAAGGAAATCTTTTATAAATAATGTAAAAATTTCCATTATATTTTTAAAATAATCTATATTTTCCGAAAATCGGTCAGGAATTTAGACATTATTGACAACATTTTTGAAAGAAACGTTCAATATTTCCTTATACTTATATTTCCTAACGGTAAGGAAATATTTTTCCCTTACAGCAGATTCAGAACATACTGCCAAAAATTAGCAAATGCGTCAAATTTATGGAATTTTTATTATTATTTTTATTTTCGCGTTTAATTTTAAGTAACTTTAATAGATTCCATTAAGTAGCGGTTTTAACAAAAAACGTCAGTTATCATAATGATGAAAAATAATATAAAATAAGAGAATCAGCTTGCAGAAATTTTCCCTTAATTTCAATACGCATTAAAAATTTTAAATTTAAAAATGTTAAGGTGTTCCATAAAAAAAAAGGAAATAAAAACTTTTCTTTATTTGTAGGAACCATTCAACAAAAGAGATAAACTTCTTTTTTGGTTCGGCAGTAACAGACTACACAAAATATTTTGAAACAATTCTATCACAAAGTTTTAAGATGTTCACACCGTCTAGTTTGTCATTCAGCGCTTTCTGTAGGTACTACTTGGACAAATTTCCTTTTACAGCTTTTCCCCTCATTTTAAAAAGTCATTAAGGAAACTTCTGCAAATATACCCACTTAGTTATTTCAACTGATTCAACTACAATCTATGAAAAATACTTCCCTCGTATACTGGTGTATCTTAAATTACACCAGTATACGAAGTAAAGTACCTTTAAATGAGCTTACAAAAAATACAAATAACTTACCGTTGTCATCCATAATCTGAACATTGATATCGGTGATATTTTCAGGTTTTCCGTTGATATCGGTGACACTTTTTTGTTTTTCGTTCATGTGTGTGTGTAGAGGGAAGGGATGGCCTTAGACATAGTCTATTAGCCACAGAATTCATTTTTATTCATATTCCTGTAGGAACATAATATTAGGTGCTTATAAGGTTAAATATCGATTTTAGCTTCTTTAAACGTAATTTATTATTGCATCTAAAACGCGTTTATTATGGCTTGATAACAGAGAACCAATGTTGAGAGGAAGAGGAGTGTTGTATTCTATTAGAGAATTATATAGTTTAGAGATAGCCGATTCATTTTTTTTACACTCCAGAAATATGTGGTTAATATCACCTATGGACATGTTGTCACAGTCACATAACGGGGAGTTAAGTATCCCTAATTTATAAAGGTGCGCCGGAAAACGACCATGATTCAATTTTAAGCGAGTTACTGTTGAAGTATATCTTTTTATATAATCAAATGTTATATCCGGTATTCTATTTGGAAGCTGTGGGTAAAGCTGGAAATAAAGATTTTTAGATGTCTTGCTAAAATTATTGTAAGATTCTGACCATCTGACTTTAATAGCTTTTTTTAGTTTTGTAGTTAAGTCGGTATAAGAAAAAAATTCTACAAATTTATCTGATTTACAAGCTTCTTTTGCTTCACAATCCACCCTTTCATTACCAGTAATCCCGCTATGACCTTTTACCCAAATGAGAATTATTTTTTTATTTTGTTGGTTTACTTTGTATAATAAGTTTTTTATTTCACAAACTAATTCTTGATTATAAATATTTATTGGAGATCCTTCAATTGCTTGCAGAACGGACTTTGAATCTGACATAATAGAAACCGTTTGAACTGGATTTAGTGAGCACCATAGTAGGCTTTTTTTTATCGCGATAGACTCTGCACTGTAAATAGAGAGTGTATCTGCTAGTCTAAATTTTTCTACATGGTTGATGTCTGAAACAAAAAATGCTGCACCTGTTCCATTTTCACATTTGGACCCATCTGTAAATATTTTAGTAACATTTTTACCAAAAGCATTCAAAGTGGTTGAGAGTATTAGGTTATTTAAATTAGCGTTTTCAGTATATTCAGGGTATATAATGGTTGGCCGAAATATCATACTTTGATAACTATATTCATATATTGGATATTTGGGACTATTGAATTTACAAATGTCATATTGATTGGTATTAATAAAGCCATCTGCCAAGGGAGGGGAGTTTTTTATTCTCCAATAAGGTGTTGTAAGGTTACAAGTGTTAATAAAAGCTATTTTCTGGATCATATTCGTATTAAATGCCCTGTATTTTATTATTTGTTTTTCAGCTAAATACTGTCTCCGTATATTTAATGGCGGTTCTTGTATTTCTGCAAGCACTGCTTGGTTAGGCGATGACATCATTAGACCCATACAAATTTTTAATGCTTTGTATTGTATACGATCGATAGTTATTAGATTCGTTTTAGATGTTGCCCCATATAATGTACAGCCATAGTCCAATATGGAACGAATATATGCTTTGTAAAATGTATACGATACAGTAACATCAGCCCCCCATTTTTTCTTGGAAACCACTTTTAGCAGATTTATGGCTTTTTCGCATCTTTTTTTAATATATTTTATGTGGTTAGTCCAAAGCAATTTTTTATCTAATACTATACCTAGGTACTTATATTCGTCTACGAATGGAATCGTAAACCCATCTAGACAAGCAGCTCTAGCAGTTTTAACTCGGTGACGAGTAAAACATACCAAGGCAGTCTTATCCTGAGAAACGCTAAAACCCATGTCCCTAAACCATTCTATTAATAAATGAATACATTCTTTCAAGTCATCTAAGCATTTCCCATATGAACCATGGCTGAAGTAAAAACATAAATCATCCGCGTATTGTATCATGTTGAACTTGTCACCTACTAACTTATGCAGATCTGCAGTGTAAATATTAAATAAAATTGGACTCAATACAGACCCTTGAGGTAACCCGTTACATACTGTGTGAGGACCATGTAATACGTTATTATGATCCCGAATAAATATTTTTCTATTATGAAAGAGACTTATAATATTGGCACATACGGTTTTATTAATTCCAATTGTTTCCATTTTTTTTGCTAAAATATTTAGATCAACTACATCATAGGCCCCTGATAGGTCTATAAATAAACATAATGTATATAGGTTTCTGGATAAACTTATTTGTATATCTGAAACTAAATGACTAACAGCATCGATAGTTCCTCGTCCTCTCCGAAAACCATATTGAATGCTTGGTAATAGGGATCTATATTCAACAAAATGTTCTAATCTAAACTTAATTAATCTTTCGAATGTTTTGGTGACACATGATATTAACGAGATTGGACGGTATGAAGATGTAATTTCTGGATCTTTATAAGGTTTAAGTTTAAGGCAAATTATAATATTTTTAAAGCAGTCTGAATATTTTTGTTTCCTCCACCAGTCATTAAATAACTGCAAAAGAAAAAGTTTAGCAGAGTATGGTAAATTATAAATTATTTTATAGGTAAAGCCATCTATCCCGGGAGCAGTATTCCGACTATTTTTAATCGCTAAATCCAGTTCGTTCATTGTGAAAGAAGAAGATAATTCATCTTCGTGATTAAATGGAAATTGGTTAAATGGTTTTACTACAAAATTAGAAGCAGAAGGAGGACCTATTTTGTTTAGAATTTGATCTATTAATTTTTTTGAAAGGGGTTTTTTGGGACAAAGAAAATTTTTGTTATTTACAGCTTTAACAAACTTCCAAATTTCGGTCAGTGGTGTATTTTTGTTGAGCTTATTTAGAAAATTAATCCAGCTACAACGTTGTTTGTTTTTAAATAAACGTTTAGTTTGGGCAGCTACGTTTTGATATACTAAATAATTATTATGGTTGGATTGATTTCTATAATTTTTTAAGGCCATTTTCCGTTTTTCTACCATCTTACTACATTCCTGATCCCACCAAACTGGTCTAGGAGAAATGGGAGTAAAAGATTTTTTAACAGGCATCGACCGATTCGCAGCAGTGGAAACCTTCCCGAAAAATGCTGCTGCATCATATACGTTATTTTCAGTAAGTAACTCAGTAACATCTTTATCCAAGAGTATTCGAAACAATTCCCAATCCGCAAATGTGTCATTCCATTTAGTAGAGGGATTTATTAAAAAAGATGAAGGATTAATTTGGATGTCAATAACTATTGGGTAGTGGTCTGATCCCATTGTATCATCTAAGACGGTCCAAGTTAATTTATCAACTAAAAAATGGGAACTTAATGTTATGTCCACCGCTGAATGATTTCCACTAGAGTTAATTCTAGTGGGAGTACCATCATTTATTACAACAAGGTCTAGATCATCTATTGCGTCTGCTAAAATTTTTCCATGTCGATCATCAGGTATAGGTCCCCAACTATCATGGTGGGCGTTAAAGTCTCCGCAAAAAAGAGTATTGGACTTGAACTGCTGAAATAATTCTATCCAATCGGTGAATTTGACAACCACGTCGGGTGGTCGGTAAATAGATACTATTGACAAGTTTATACCAGATAAAGTAATTGCGCAAACTTCTAGCTTTTTGTTTGACGATTGCATGATATTAACCTCTTTAAACGCTAACCATTCAGCTATAAAAATGCCTACCCCCCCAAAACCATCAACTCTACATTTTTTAACTAAATTGAACCCTCTCAAAAAAAAGTTTTCGTCAGGTTTAAGCCATAATTCTGATAAAACAATAATGTCAATTTGTGAACTGTGAATAAAATTAATTAAACTTGCTTTATTTGCTTTTAATGATCTAATGTTCCACTGCAAAATACATAGTTTTTCTTTTGTAATTTTGTGGTTAGGAATCGGGAAGATTAATAATATTCGGATTCAGACCCACTAATGTTAAAGTCCATTCCATCATTGGGATTATCGGAATCAAACATATTATTAACAAATTCTCTTATATCTGAATCTGCAAAAGTAACCGAGCTAGACGGAAAATGTTTTTGAAGTTGTTTAACGAATGTAGATAATATAAGAATTGACTTTTCTTTATAGTTCATATATTCGTCTCTATAAGGATTAGGAAGAACAGTATTAGAATTCAATGTTAATTTAGTAGGAGTTTTTTTTATTGGTGAAATTTCTGTGGTGGGAGATAGAGGGGAAGGTTTTCGTTTTTTTGAAGTAGGCATAATTGTTTTGATAGAGGGTTTCCTTAAGACTGCTGAGGAAGGTTGAGAAGATTTTTGCTTAACATCTGGTAATGGTGGAAAGTTATTAATATTATTTAATATTGAGAACTTGTTATTCGTAATAATTTTTGAATAAGAAGGATTTATATACATATTTTCGGCTTCTTTAAAGGAAATATTTTCCTGGGCCATAATCTGCTTTATTTGTTTTTGTTTTGTGAAGACAGGGCATTTTCGCGAGATTGAAGTGTGTTCATTACTTTTACAGTATATGCAAACATTTTCTAATTGACATTCGTCTTCCAGATGATCCAAACTAGTGCATTTTTTACATCTGCTATCTTTAGATTTGCATTGTCTGGCCGAATGACCATAACGCAAACACTTAAAGCATTGTACAACTGGTTGTATATATGGCTCTACTTGGAAATTGCAGAGATTAATTTGAATGTTTTGTGGAATTTCATTCCCCAGAAATTGTACTATAATCATCTGCCTGTTAACTAAACAGGGATTTCCATCGGAATCTATTATTTTTCTTTTCATTCTTTGAACACTTACTACTTTTTTATTGGAAATAATGGCATTTAGTAAGTATTCTTCGGAAAAAAAAGTATCGACCATTCTTATGATACCCTTTTTGTGGGTGTAGAATTTAGGGATATATGCGATTAGATTATTTTGTTTGATTACATAATGATTAACTAGAGAATTAGCCGATTCCAAAGTTTTAAATATAACTTTCACCCGGTTAATTCCTACTGATTTTATATCCTCTACTTCTTTACTTAATGTTTCATCAGGGAGTAGGTAGTGCCCAATTTTAATTGGGAAAAGTTTACCAATATTTTTTTCTTTATGTTCCACAAACACGAAATAAGGACCTTTATCGCCTGGTCTATAGCGATTTTCTAGATCAATAATATTATTAAAATCATCTTTCTTTCCCTTTTCACTATTATTCATACATTGATTTAAATCGGGCGGTTCCCCGCCCGTATTTTCCCCCATGGTTTAATTAATTTTAGATGTTTTTATCTACAGCTTCTATATATAAAATATTTCAAATTTTATCAATTAATCAAAATAAAATATGTAATTAGTCAAACCAAAACAAAACTTTGAAAAATTAACGAGGTTCAAATATCAATTAAAATATAATTATAACAGGTAATATACTTATCTTAACAAAAAGTAAAATTACCAGCACTCGAATACGTCCGCTCACTAGGCTTATCAAATTCGAACTGTTTTTCGTTCATATCGGTGACATTTTTAGGTTTTCCATCAATTCTGTTAAAATCATTTTTAAGTAAAGTCAATATTTTTCGACTCCTTTCACCCTGCATTTTACTATTTAAACTTACAGTTAATAATAAAAAACAGTACAACACTATCTATAGTTTTAGTAAGGAATAACTAAATACACAACGTATCGAACCCTCGTTCATCGTACACTGAGTCAGAAGACACTTGTACCAGAATGAATCCCTCCGGATGCGGCGTATACAGATACTACTGTACTTGACTCGGTATACGGCGTAAAATAATCAATGAAGCTGCAGTTATACCAATTGACACCACTTTATTTCGGCTATTTTTTGAAGTTTTCGATTTTTTTTATACCTGTCTATAGGCAATGGACTGTTATGTACATAACAACAAAAAACGCAAAAAACCTTAATTTGTTAGTTGCCTCAGTATACTTAGGAGCCGTCGAAACTACAGGTCATTACAAAATGCAAATCATCTTTTTAAAAACGTTAAATATGCTCTCCTGAAAAATAGTCATTTTTGAGATACATTTTTGTGTCACTAAGCCGAACGACTTGTTCCTATCAAAACCAAAAATTAAAAAACCAATAAAAGACTTTCTAAATTCTTACAATAATTTTCTTCTGTTTTTTATGTAGACATGATATCTCCGCTACTTTATCTAATTGTTGATATTTTGAGAACACAATTTATTCATTGTTGCGTATGATTGTATCACGGCAATGAAAACATTCCTAAGATTAATAATTCGGAACAAAAAAGTTGAGAATAAACTACAGGTCATTACAAAATGCAAATCATCTTTTTAAAAACCTTAAATATGCTTTCCTGAAAAATAGTCATTTTTAAGATACATTTTTGTGTCACTAAGCCGACGACTTGTTCCTATCAAAACCAAAAATTAAAAAACCAATAAAAGACTTTCTAAATTCTTACAATAATTTTCTTCTGCTTTTTACGTAGACATGATTCTGTTTTTTTGTTAATGTCTCTCGACATTTTGTTACCCTGTTTGTTATCATTCGGCTAATACAATGATTCCATTCTACTCTTCTATGTTCCTTCTTACCCAGTCCTTGATATTCTCCAGCTTACGTCTACGTCGTATATCTGTACTTCTAGCTCTCTACCATAGTATTTTCTTTTCCGCTATTTATAACATATTTTTGCCCTCTCTGTGCCAGGTCGTGTTTATTCTGCGTGTGCCATTATTGATATTATGATAAAGTAGTTTTAAAAAGAAATATTGGAAGAAATAAGTTATATTATACAAACATCATTATTGACACTCTCGATAGAAAATATTAAATATCGATCACAATCTCAGAGAAAATATTTGTAATTCTAATAAAGTCTCGTTATTCCCCACACATTCTAAGATTCCCATTATTCAGAGTTTGACCTAAAATGTGACGGCAGATAAAGGCAACACCGTTCAGTAGGACATTCCCGAGGGAAGGACATCAATCACTTTTACATAAAACGATGACAAGATTACTTCTTACCCTTAGCAACTTCCTTCTTCGATGATATTTCCCGAAAAGGTCATGGAAAGTGCATCGATATCAAAAATATTATAAAGTATAAACAGTATTGGACATGTGAAATTAAAATTATAAGAATAAACTAAAATATAAAAGAAAAAAAAATTCTTAAATATGATAAAGGCAGTTATATTAAGCAAAGAATCCGTAAATAAATAGATCGGGTACTACTAAACAATTTTTTACTGGATATGTCATGATTTTTTAAGATTGCCTCTTTCTCTATATTAAAAAAATATTCAACAGATCCACTAAAACTTTGCACATTTTCACCATTCCTATTACAGGAAATAAACCAAAACATGTGAGCCAAACTTACGTCGGTTATGAAAATTAAAAAATGGCTAACATTACATTTAGCATTAGATACAGTATGCAGGGATAGACTGTGGACCGCGATGCAGGAACTTGGCTATCCAAAAAAAACTAGTGAGGTTGATACGGATGTGTATGGAACGGTTACAATATAAGGTGAGAGTTGGACAACAATATTCGGAGACATTTGAAATAAACAATGGACTAAAACAGGGAGATGCACTTTCAACACAACTCTTCAACTTAGCTCTGAAGCACATAATCAGAAGTGCAAGAATCGAAAAATCTAATACAGTAGTTCATCGAGAAGGACCAAATTTACTACTGGCATTTGCAGTCGATATCGATCTAATACGAAACACACGATTAAGGATGAAGGAGACTTTCGTGATGTTCGAGAAGAAGAAGAAGAGAAGAGAGATTGGGGCTCCAAATCAACGAAAACAGGACGAAATATATCTATATGAGCCGCAATAACCAAAGCAGAGACAGAATCGGTCAGAACTTCACCATCGATGACTTTAACTTTGAGCGCGTTAGATATTTCAAGTATCTGAGAACAATAATAACTGAAGACAATAACGGATCACAAGAAATAAACAACAGGATTCAGGACGGCAACAGATGTCTTTTTGCCCTCCAAAACCTTATAAAATCAAAACAACTAACACGACGTACGAAGATTCAGGTCTATCAAACAATCAAACGATCCGTTGTGATGTATGGAAGCGAAACGTGGACAATAACAAAGGCAAACGAAGAGAGACTATGTGTTTGGGAAAGAAAAATCCTAAGGAAGATCTTTAATCTTTGCTGGATGAAGCATCAGGACAATTATTGGAGAACTATAATCTCCAACCAATTAATTATATTTCAAAACAAATATTTATATTCAAAGCAAATAAAAATATTTTTGGGCCGGTTACCTAAATAAATCCAGTCTGCATTACTTCTTAGAATGTTAGTCTCCGCCTACTTGACCTTAGACAGGGCGCTATTCAAAATGCATAAACAAGTATTTTCGGAGGGGCTGCGGGAAGACAGTAAGTTAGCGACACTAATAGGACTTAGACCTATCTTTCAAGTTCGGAGAGTTTTTCTCCACGTTTGCAAGTTACGTAATAAGCCGGGAAGCCTTAAAATGTGAATAGTGTTATGGTGTTTTCGGGAAAGTTCGTAAATTGTAAATTTCTAATTAGGTTCCTTACGTGTAGTTATTCACTCACAGATTATAACTTTCTATTTCTTGACCTTTTTTAATTACAGTTCTAGCTAAACAAACAATTGTTTTATTTCACTTTATATCTATTCAATAGGCCAGATTTAAGCACCTTTAAAAGTACATTTAAGTTTCTTTACTGAGCTGTCGAAAGCTAGCGGACCAATTGGACTTACAGCAAGTACAAAACCACTGAAAGAGACACTGTTAGCATACAAGACTCTCCCTGAAGGGATGTTGAAAACCGGCACCCCTCCAACAATATAGGATAAGAACTAACAAAGAGCTCGAAGAACTTTACCCAGACGCCAACATCATAAAAGAAATAAAGTCCAGAAGACTCCAATGGGCAGGACACCTCAGAAGACATTCTAACGAACGAACAGTAAGACTGGTGTGGGAGGAAAGTCTCAACTGGAAGGAGACCACGCGGACGCCCTCGTCTCCGGTGGGTAGATAATGTAGCAGGAGACCGAAGCACTATGGGCGTGGAGAATTGGATGGAGGTTGCTCAAGACAAAAAACAGTGGAGGCATGTTATCGAGTCGGCTAAAACCCACGAAGGGTTGTAACACCACGGAGTAAATAAGTAATTAAATAACATGACAATGCACGTTTTTATACTTTTTTTTTATTTCGTTTGTTATATTTTAAAAACTAGGTATATATTTATGAACGTGATTTCATCATTATACAATTACAAATAATAACACATTAAAAGTAAAAGTAAAAAAAGAACTAACCGACCCTATTGAAGCTGCCAATGAAATAAGACAGGGAGATTTCCAGAGTTCTTTATTGTTCAACCTAATTATGGATGAAATAATAAAAAAGTAAGAACTCAAAAAGGATAGGGTAAGTCCGGAAGAGATGGCTCGTCGGGTGAGATGACTCGGTCAAATATATCACAGTTTTATTTATTTGGAGTCAGTTGCATTGCGTTATTTGATGCGTGCGTATGGTATTAGCAATACTCTATTGTTTCCGTGTTTTTCCCAAGGATGATAGGTTAAGATATTTAGAAATTCTTATTTACATCTTCTTAAAAGTTCTTTCGGTAATCATCAAAACTATTGTGCACTTTTTTTTTGTCTGTATTTTATCGAAGTCACGTTTTGGGCATGTTGCTTGTATCGTTGAGGTTATGTAGGCATAGTTGCCAGTCCTTTTAAACGTTACTAATACACGGAAATTAATTGGCCATCTTACCCCAACAATTCGGGTTAGTTGGCTCGCAAATGTTAAAAAGATATGGCCTAGCTTTTTAGTTCCTTGTATAAGGATATTATTAATAGATAAATTTATTTTCAGCCATGCTTACGAAGTATAACAAAAAAGGAAATTGCCAACGTAGCTTATGGACTGAAAATCCAAAATAAAATAAAGACACATATCCTAAAGTTGCAGAAAGCTGGTTTTGCACCTACGATATCTAGAGTTAGAGAAACAGCATTCAGATTAGCGGAAAAATTACATATTAAAACTACTTTTAACAAGGAAAAAAAACTTGGAGGTTTGAACTGGTTACAATCATTCTTAAGAAGAAACCCTGACTTGAGTATAAGAAAATCGGAAGGCTTATCCTTAGCAAGAAGTCGAGGCATTAAAAAAAAGGATGTAAGCGATTGCTTTGATCTGAAGTTATTCTAGAAAATGAG